AATTTGGGCATAACCCTTATAGCTTTGCTTTTGGAATCACCCAAAAAGCCTCATACTAATGGAGATGTTCTCCCTAGCTTATATGTCAATAAAATGTAAAAATTAATTTTTTGGGAATCGAAAAATAAGTAAATAATTTTTTAAAACATACAAAAATATATTATTATGGATAATGGACGGTAGAAAACCCAAATCTAGGGAATAAAAACAAGGAACCATTTGACAATGTTAGGGGCAAGGAACCACCCTCCACATCCCTTCATTTGTATGATATTGTCTAATTTGGGGATAACCCTCAGAGCTTTGCTTTTGGAATCACCCAAAAAGCCTCGTACTAATGGAGATATTCCCTCTAATTTATATGTCAATAAAATTTAAAAAGAATTTTTTTTGAGGAAGAGAAAAATAAATAAATAATAATTTAAAACATATAAAAATACATCATTATGGATAATGAACCATAGAAGAATTAAAATATAAGGAATAAAATTAATGAACCAATTGAAAGGGTCAGGAGCAAGGAACCACCCTTTACATCCCTATATTGGTATTGGTATGATATTCTAATTTTGACATAATCCTCGTAGCCGCTTTTGGTATCACCCAAAAAGCCTCATACCAATTGAGATGTTATCACTAACTTATATGTAAATAAAATTTAAAAAGAAATTTTTTTGGACAGAAAAAAATAATAATAATAATTTAAAACATATAAAAATATATTATTTTGGATAGTAAACAGTATAAAAATCCAAATATAAGGAGTAAAAACAAGTAACCAATTGAAAGTGTAATGGAGATGTTGTCCCTAACTTATATGTCAACAAAATTGAAAAATAATATTTTTCGGGGAAGAGAAAAAATAAAACAAATAAAACTCAAATATATAATTATATAATCCCTGTTTGATAACTATGTTGCTTTTGATTTATTATTTTTGGTTTTTAATAGTAAGATTAGAAAGTTATTTTTTTTGTTTTGTAATACAGTTTTGATAAGTATTTTCAAAATCTAGGCCAAATGTTTAAAATATATATATATAGTTTTCAAAAAAAAAAAATTTAATTTTGTTAAGAATTCCAATGTATTTACAAGAAAGTTAAATAACAAAAGTGTACAAAAACAAGTGTGATTTTTAAAAACAGAAAAACTAAAAACATGGTTATCGAACAGCCCCTAGTTATTTAATTATGTAGATGCAAAATCTGCGCAAACAGGACAAAAATGTGTAGCTACTTTTACGTTTCTAGTTTTAACATTTACCAATATAATGGAATCATTTTAACGAACCAATATAAAATTTGTAAGAAGGAACTAACGTTATATACATAATATTTATGCAACATACCTTTAAGACAAGACATATATATTTAAAGAATGAACTAGAGATTTTCGTTTTTCCTCAGAGAAACTCAGAAAGCCAATATAGGTATGAAGAAGGTTATTTGAAATCAATATGGAATTTACAGCTCGGGGAAAAAAGTAACAACAATCATAAAGTGACAAACCCGAAACCACAAAGATAAATGAAAACTTACAGTGAGAACTATTCGCCTGTGATGAATAGAGAAACCTCCTCCGCAACCCAGATCAAACGCCACTGCAAACTCCAAAGTCTGGAGATACTATCAAACGAAAACCACCGAAAATTAACAACAAGTTCTTTGTTCGTGAGTCTTACCCAACGCCCACTCCAATTTCAAAAAAACATTAGGGTTTTCGATGAGAGAACCCAATAACAAATGAGAGTCTCTTGTGATTCTTACCGACATGAATCTGGAAAGAAAATCATTACGATGAGAGTCGCTTGTGATGCGGTAGTGAAAGTCGTGAATCGTACAATGAGAGAAACTTGAACCCCCTCCTCCGCAAGATCAAACGCCAGTGCAAACTCCTGCCGAAAAACATATCGCAAACAACAGCTCTCTGTTCGTGATTCTAACCGATCGAGATCGCAACGACTCTCCAATTTCGAATTAGGGTTTTCCGATCGAGTTTGGTCCAAGGAATCTCATCACATCACGATTCCTATCCGACCTCGAATTAGGGTTTTCTGATCATGAAATTTCAGTTCCAATTTTAAATTGGGTCTTTCATGTCCCTTAACGAAAGTACAAAATCAAAGATGATAAGAAATTATGAACTGTAAAAATCTATGAAATTAACCAAAATCAAATGAGAGTTACCCGATCGAACGTGGAGTGGAATCGAAGATTACTTCACCATCGCTTATTTTTTTATTAGCCCTAGAGTCTCTTAAGGTTAAATAAAATAACCGTTGGGGGTTTCAAAAATAAAAATAACCATTAAACTATTAAAAATACACCTCCGCCCATTTCCGTCAGTAGCGCCTCTTCGATGTGGGAATAAGAAAACTACTATCGTGGTTTGACCAATTCAAAGAGCGCATTTTAGGGCTTTTATGTTATTCTAATTTTTATTCTTGTTACTAAAATTAAAGTTAATCAATAATTAACCAGTTTGAAAATTTTGGCAGATATTAACTACTTAATAAAAATACATATTTTCAAATATTTTAAAATAAGAAGCCACCCTCTTTTGGATCTTACATAACAAATATAGAAAGAAAATTCATTAGCAATAGATAATAAGGAAGGTGTAAATGTCTTATTAGAGTATTTTCTTTATATATATAAATAAAACACTGCTTTGAAAAGAAAAGAAAAAACCACTGAGAATGACATAAGAAGGGTGGTGACCACGCACCAAATCTGCAAAAGAAAATACCCATTCAACGACTTCTTTAAAAAACCAAAAAAAGAACAAAGTAAGAAGGAACAAACTCGGAAAAAAAAATCAAACTGATGACTGAGAGAAAATGCACACTCTTCACAGGGAGGATAAGTATAGGAGGGGAGCTGGGCACTAACCACTGACCACTCTCCTCCCCACTTTTTTCTCCAACTCCTTGAAAAAACTCTGTTTTCATGTTTTATTAGGGTCTTTATTTATCATTAGTTTACTAAGATTTGCAAACTTAAGTTATTTTACTAAAATTTGCAAACTTAAGTATAACTTAACTGGTTATTGCAAATTCGGTTGTAGTTTCGTATCTTCACCCCTAGTTGTTGTACTAAAAAAAATATAAAACCAAAATGCACTCAAATGCAACTCCAAAATAATAATAATAATAAATAAATAAACAGAAGATTCAAATGCATTAATATTATCAGACATATCAAATTTTTTATTGCCACGGCATACATCAAAATGAATACATAATCATGCCGAATTTATCTTGATACTTTACAAAATAGACTGTATATATTTTTACTCAACGGTACAACATATCAATTTACATATATAAAGCAAATTGAAGCAATAAAGCATACATATGCACAGCTAATTTGCAAAATAATTGATACACTTTGCATTCTATCAAAAAAATTATTCTCAAGGCATTCGAGGCAGCAATGGTTCCAATCGAGGGTCAATTTCATTGGAACTTGGAAGCTTTTTGATGCCTGCCTCTAATTGGCTAACTGATAAATCCTCACTTCTGGATTTCACTAAGCTTTGGAGAAAGCTTGATGCATCATTTGGTGAAGAATCTGATCTCCTGTTTGTCTCCTTTAAGCTCTCCACATGCTGAAGACAGACTTGAACTGCATCATGAACTCTCACAAAGAACCACTCCTTGCCAATAAGCTCGACGACACCGGATCTTGAAAATGTAAGCAGAACTTCTCGATTCGGATTGGAAATGGCAATCTGTGTACGACCCAGATGGTTATGGAGAAAATTATGGTGATTATATTTGTTATAGTAATGAAGTAAGTGAGAACTACCTGAATATCTCGAAGTTTGTATTCCTGATACAATTCTTTGAAAGCCTGGACAGCACTAGAATCTATATAAGTAACGGCTGCGGAGGTAGAGAACACATTGGAAAAGTAGAAACAAAGATTAGTAATATAGGATAAAAGGCCCATGAATGGAGAGGCTAATAGTTTAATGGTGTGTTTTGGGAGTGATTTTAGCAAAAGTAGTTTAACGATAATCATTTTAGTAAAAAGTGTGTAATATCAGATTACTTTGATGCTTGATTCTACACGATTGAGGGTGCTTTTAAATGCTTCCTTAAGAAACACTCAAGTCAAAAGGATTTTATGTGTGTTTTATCACAAAATACTTTCGAGTACTTTTGATTTTTTTCTAAAGCAATAAAAAATCACTTCCAAACAAACATGATGATTTTAACGAGGGTACTTCTAGTCATGGCAAAGGTGCTTTCAGCCAAAAGCACTCCTAAACATAGCCTTACTTCCACACAAAGTTATCCATGAGTTAGAGATGAAATCTTTAAGCACGTGTCATGAAATTGTTATTAGATACTAATGACAATCATGCTAATATTGATCCCACTTAATGAATGGAAGAATAGAACATAACTCAGTGACCTGCTGAAAACAGAGAGTGGTAGGAGCACTCCATCAAAAGGGGAAAAAAACAAGTGATGCTCATTTAGTTATTTTACATGTATTTTATGAACTCTACAAAAGCAGAAGGATGAATAAACTTACGTGCCATCTCTATAATAACGAAATAAACTCTCTCAACATCTGGCCCACGACCAGTAGATCGGTCAACTTCAACTTCATATTCACGTAACCTGTGATACAAAATCCTTTATTGTATTTGTTTACTTGGGAAAACTAACAGATACAAAAAAGCAAGTTGTTCTCGACGTGATATTGAGAGGACAAGTACACCAAACTACTAAGACTATAAGTAGGAGCAAGCACCTGTCTTTGATGAAACTCGTGTTTGCAAAATAAATTGGTGCATCAATCCGAACAATCACAATTCCGTTGTAAGTATATGCCTCTGGATACTGTTGAACATTTCTGTACACAGTAGTGCCAGGAAGACGCCCCAATACAGCTGTAATAGGAACAAATAGAAGAATTAACAATGAAGTACGAGTGATAGCAATGTATTAGAGTTATATTAGTAATTAGCAAGTAAGTTCGTTGGAAGAAAGTGGTTATAAATAAGGTGAGTTAGGGTAAAGTAAGTTGAGCAATTATTTAGTCGTTTGTGCTTCAGCTTGCTCGCAGTGAGCCTTCCAAGTTATTTGAATTACTTGGGATATTTTACTGTGTTTTATTATTCTTAAAATCTTCAATACAATTTCTATCAAAATTCTCTGCTCTTATAAGGATGCTGCATAAATAAACAATAACTTATTGATCCATTACAAGCTTCCATTATTTTTGAGGATAATGTAACTTCACAAAATTTCGTTTGTTGTTTAGTTCTATCTCAAAAGAATATGCTTCTTTTTGAGCAGCAATAAAGACAAATAAATTAATAGACCCAAAGAATGAGTGTGAAATAATAAAAAGAAAAATTAAGGATCATTGGCTGGAATGCAGTCGAGGCAGGGGCAAGTACTAAATCATGAATTTTAGACGTTTCCCTCCCATTGAAAATTTTGAATGGTTTGGAAATAGAAGGCAGAATTACTTATTTATAGTATGTTACAAAGATGGAAATTCACCGTCCACCTTCTTGACTTGATATACAAATCAATAACATGGATTCCAATAAATGTAAGACTTTGGAACACAGCATTTCCGAGTTTCAAATATAGCTTATTCGAAACTGAACGACTTACCCATATGTGGATTTGCAGATTCGTGAATGACAAAGACTAGTGAAACACCCACCTACAATATGAGATTCACAATAAACCGCATGCTTAGAGTGGTATTCACAATAGAAGAGTTGAACAATATTAATGAAGACATATTAAAAAGCATACTTCAATATTTCAATTTTAGTTACGATAATTGCCTAATATGAAAGGTTCTACTTCTTACATTCTACTCACTAAGTTCTAACATTAACGTCAAAAGAGAAAAGTTCACATAAATCTCAATGTAGGTTATTTGCAAAAGGGTTTCAAAAGACTTGAACTAATTGTTGTAGCGGTGCTATTTTTTCTATCAAAGCGTGATGTAGAATCTAGCAGACATTTGAGGTTTCTTTAGGTCCGACCCTTGAGGGCCGTGAGATGATTAAGGAAATTCTTCTACATCCTCCTAATCCTTTTTAGGAGAGAGTTCACTGTTATGGACGGTGAGTTTCTTTGAAATTGTGTAGAGCAATTTGTTGGAGAAAGAAACACGATATTTTTTAGGTTGAGGTATCTTGATGGGTGTTTGAGAGCATTATTTTACTGCTTCTCTCCCGGTATATACTTGTAGACTTTTTGTGCAATTATCCTTTACTTTTACTCACAAATAGTTGTGGCTCCTATCTGTAATAATTTTAATGTTGTTTATTTTCTGCGCCCGGATGTTGGCTATACCATTCTCATTGTAGCCTTCTTTTGTAGTCTAATTGTTTTGATGTAACTTCTCTTATCGAAATAAAGCCAGGAGGTATCCTATTTCGGAACTTTAAAAAGGCCACAGCAATTAATTTCTTCAAGTTGAAAGCTATGATAAAACATATCCATTATAAGTTTGAACAAACTAAAACTGACAGTAAATAATTATCTAAATAAAACTACCGTATCAGAACAGTTTTAAATACGTACCCCAATTAAGACGCCAATCTCAATGCCAAGAAACAACGTAGAAATAGCAGTAATCACCCATAGAAGAAAATCTTTCTTGTCAATGCGCCACAAAAAAATAGCCTCGTCGTAATCCACCTGAAACGATAAGCATCCAAGGAAAAAGGAAAAATAGTTGTTTCATGACAATAGTAAATGCACGTCCATCTACAATCATGAAAACATAGAAAAAAATGCCCCCAAAATAGATAATCTCATTGAAACAAGCAGGGAAATATGTTCCCGCTATCATCGTATCATCATGACAATCTTCACTGGGACATCAAGAAATACTTCTAACTTCTTGAGTTATCCAACTTCCTTTTTCTTGAGCAACAACTTATAAGCAAACAAAAAACCTCACGAATAAGGTGACCAATTAGTCAAAAAGATGGAAGTATCACAAGAAGAAATCAATATTTTATTCGTTACACAAGAAGAAATTTAGAATTAGACAGTAGTTTTAAATAAGATGAAAGTATATAATTTTAGTTTAGAGTTGTACGAACGGCGGAGAGTCCAAACAACTTAAGATTTTTATCCCCATATAAGAGACGATATCGTTAATTTCAAAGGATAACAAATGGGAAGAGAAGACATTCTCTCACCAAAGTAGAGAGAGAATGGATAGTGTAAGCAAAAGGCAACCAACCCTAAATTCTCCATTTAGACAATCTGCCAAAGATTCTTTCCACCACAAGGAACGAGGATACCCCAAATGAAGATTTCTAGATACACTAAGGGCCAAGTCCCGGTAGAACGATAAAAGGAAGAAGCATTGGTATTCACTTGCCAATCCTCATAGTCCAATCTACTTACGCTTAATCGCCTCATAAAGAAAGTCGGAACAAAAATCTGAACTGTATATTTGTAGTAATAAACACAACAACCATGATCATGCTCCATTCGCTAATTAACTCTTTTTTTTTCAGGGTGGTCGCTAATTAACTCATTGATTAGATAAAATGTACATTTAGTCATATTTGTTAATATCATCAGAAGATTTAACTAAATGAAAAAAAAAAATTACTGCATTAAATTCAGCGGTGCTTACCAAAGTTATTACAGCAGAGATCACAATGGCAGCCAATGCACACTAAGATGACAAAGAACAAAGAACAAAGAAGCAGATTTAGCATCTTTAAATAAATAATTTGATGGTGGCTTTAAAGACACGAATAGATAAGTGGTTAGAGTATAGTTTAAATGCTTGATTTTAATCTAACCTAACATCTCTAGCTTTTCCGAGTTTACAGTACAAATAGCATTGGAATCTCAAATTTACTATATTATTCCCTCTACTTCTTCAAAACAATAATCCATGCATTAAGTCAAGTCCAGGTAAATGAAGTCGAAGTCCAAAACGAGATATGGAAGAGAGTAATAAGATATAATTTAAATGTTAAAATCAATTTGAACCTCAAAGTTTAAGCTTTGAAGACTAAAAAAAGTTCAATATAAAAATAATCACATTTAAGTTTTCTTAGCACCTATAATGATTGCAGCATTAGTATTATGACCTTTTTCTAAGAGGAAAAATGAACACAAAGGTACAACAATTATATGGTAAAAGTACATATTACCACCCTGGTTATGTTAAATGTCTTTTATAATTCGGAGAATGGAGATAAACCTGAGGTATGTACTTAAACAATGGAGTCAGGAAAAGAAGGGCCCCACCCATGACCATTCCTGTAACAATCTGAGATAAGCCAGTTTTAGCTCCACTTTCGTGGCTCACGGCTGATCTTGAGAAAGAACCTACAAAAACACATGAAAAAAAAAATATATATATATATACACACTAATGATTCATTTAAGAGAGAA